TCCTGCGAAAAGCTCTATGGAAGCAGGGAAAAATCGAGATGAGCAGAGCAGAGCGCAATGCCTCCGTCTGATTCGTTTCTCTCCCATTGCACGGCCGCCCTCGTGGCTCTGGCCGCCGTGCCACGCCGTGCCACGCGGCGACGCGGAGGATGAAGAGGAAACGCAGCATACATAGAACAGCTGAAGCACCGTTTTGACTGGTAGCTTTGTCCAGTCTCTGCGGACGATCAGTGCCCTGACAACGGCCACGCACCCTCGTGCCGTGGGCGGTTCGGGTCGTAGAACATTTTGCGACAGAGTTGTGAACCTTCTCGGGCCTCAAGGGCCGAATGTCCCTGCTTGACAGGGCTGAACCTAAACGGTGCTGTTCGTTTTCGTTGTGTTGTTCGTCCTTCCTCGTTTTGCCTTCGCTTCGCCTTGAATGCGAAACAAAACGAACAGCAGCACGGCCCACGATATGGCCAAAACACCGTGTGGGTCCAACCCTGCTGCTTGACTACAGTGCACATGACACGGAATCTCAACGAGATCGTGACTTTGCGCAGCGCCCCTCACTCGTCATAGTCGGTCATGTCTGCGAAGTGCGCCCCTCCGAAGCACACGTCGATCATGCAGTCTTTGTTGGGAATGCCAGTCTTGGATTTCTTCGTGCAGAGCTCCCTGGCCACCTCACTTTTGTCACTCGCACAATTGTTGAGGTCGGGCCGGTTCACGGGCGTCACGGGGGTCTTGGTGTGGAAGAGCAGTTCCGCTTGCGGGACACCCGTTGTGCCGATGCGGGCGCGAATTGCCGGCCTGGTGTCGTCGTCGAGCACGCCGTTGAAATTTCCACAGTGGCCGTCCTGGTTGGGCTGCATGCTCATGGTGATCATCGTGTTGATGTAATCGCCCTCGCCTGGCTCGTTCCAACGGTTGATCTCCAGGTGGATGTTGAGCGGCAAGTCCACGTGCACGACGTGCATATCCTTGCCGTTGCGGCTCGACTGCATCACCTGCCCGCTGCCGTCGGTGACAACCTTGATCATGGGATCCTGGTTCTCCCAGGCGTCTGGAAAACCAGGAATAATGGGGACGTCGTTGAATGTCGCCCTGAGAGAGGAGATGCGGAGGACGTTCTTCTTGCCGTCCTTGCCCTCCAGGAAGGGGCCGCCGATCGCGATCTCCTTCATGACGGAGAGGCCGTTGGTCACCGGAGTGGGCATGTAGCGGCCCTGCATCCAAACGGTGGTGCTCTTCACAGTCCAGTACTCGCCCTGGGAGTAAAAGCTTGCTGATTGCCCGTCAAACGTCACCACGTGCGGGTCGCCGAAGATCCTGCAGTGCTTCTGGGGCCCCTGCGGCGGCGGCGCTGGCGTGGGGTTCTCACATTCTGGAGTGCCTGTGATGCAGATGCCCTTCTCATCACAGTCGTCGAAATCAGTACACTCCTCAGAGCCGCAGTCATCGTCGCACTGCGACCCATCGCGGGCGCAGTTGCACATGTCGATGCAACACTCCTTCGACGGCATCGGCGACGGCGTAGTCACGATGTCAGGAGGCGCCATGGTGATGACGGGGGGGGTCGTTGTGGTCGTGGTCGTGGTGGTGGTTCCCGCGAAGAAGAGGAGGGGAGTCAGGAGCAGCGGCAGGAAGCAGCATAGCCACCATGCGCTGCACCCAGCCGCGGGAATCGGCACCACGCCGAAGGTGCCGGCGCCCTGGCCCACGTACTGGTAGGTGGTCGCGGCGATGTAGTCACCGCCCGTGCCCACGTACGCCATCGTCGTCCCGGCGATGCCCCCGCAGCCCACTCCGCACCCGTCCGCGCAGCCCGCGCCGCCGCCCGGGCCTCCGCAGCAGGCCTCTCCACCACCAGCGTAGCCCATCCCGGGGTAGACCCCGCTGCCCATGAGCGCGCCGCCGCCCGCGCCGCCGGGGTAGACCCCGCTGCCCATGAGCGCGCCGCCGCCCGCGCCGCCAGGGTAGAACCCGCTGCCCATGACCGCGCCGCCGCCCGCGCCGCCGGGGTAGAACCCGCTGCCCATGAGCGCGCCGCCGCCCGCGCCGCCGGGGTAGACCCCGCTGCCCATGAGCGCGCCGCCGCCCGCGCCGCCACCAGCGAAGGCCCCGCGGGAGCCCGAAACGAACCCACCGCGCGGGCTCGTTGCCATGAAAGATCCGCCACGTGCGCCGGCGAAATTCATCGCTGCCCAGATCCTGCGCCGCGCCTGGTCCAATTCCTGTACTGAGAGAATACTGGGGCAACAAACAAAAAAACTTGCGTCAAATGGCTACGGAATGACTTAGGTTTTTTATTTGTTTTCAAAATGGTGCTCTCGCTGAAGCGCTGGCCTCATTTCGGGATACCGCTCGTTCCGAATCGTGGTCCCGCTGCAGCGCTGGCCTCATTTCCGCGCTTCCGCTCGTTGCGAATCATGTTCCCGCTGTAGCGCTGGCGTCATTTTTCCCAACGCCATGCCACGGCATGGTTTTCGGTCCTTCCAAATTGGCCCCCAAATCTAGAAAATGCCCTCTCGGAAAAAAACAGCGGAAGTGATTACACATTCGGTGTCGATCTGTTGATTCGTGTAGCCGCAGAAGCTCCCCCAATTTGGGGATTCGCCAGGCCATGCTATGTCAAGCTACGCGTCCTCAGGCCCGCGCTTCGGCGTTTGAGTTGTTTTATAAAATGATGCTCTCGCTGAAGCGCTGGCATCATTTCGGGCTACCGCTCGTTCCGAATCGTGGTCCCGCTGCAGCGCTGGCCTCATTTCCGCGCTTCCGCTCGTTGCGAATCGTGTTCCCGCTGTAGCGCTGGCGTCATTTTTTCCAGCGCCATGCCAAGGCATGCTTTTCGGTCCTTCCAAATTGGCCCCCAAATCTAGAAAAAAATGCCCTCTTGACAACAAAAAACATCGGAAGACATTCGGTGTCGATTCGTTGATTTGTGTAGCCGCAGAAGCTCCCCCAATTTGGCGATTCGCCACGCCATGCTATGTCAAGCTACGCGTCCTCATGTCCACGCTTCCGCGCTTGAGTTGTTTCATAAAATCGTGCTCTCGCTGAAGCGCTGGCCTTATTTCGGGCTACCGCTCGTTCCGAATCGTGGTCCCGCTGCAGCGCTGGCCTCATTTCCGCGCTTCCGCTCGTTGCGAATCGTGTTCCCGCTGTAGCGCTGGCGTCATTTTTTTCCAGCGCCATGCCACGGCATGGTTTTCGGTCCTTCCAAATAGGCCCCAAAATCTATAAAAAAATGCCCTCTTGAAAAAAAACATCGGAAGTGATTACACATTCGGTGCCGATTCGTTGATTGACTGGGCCGCAGCAGCCCCCCCGCTTTGGGGCGTCGCAACGCCATGCTATGTCATGCTACGCGTTAGTCTTCAACACCATGCTTTGCTATGCAATGTTATGCCATGCTGCGACATCCGATTGTGCGAATAAATAAGAGATCTACGCCATGGTAAGGGATGGGAGGGAGGGGTAGGACGTCAGATGTGACGCGAGCGCGCCCAGCTTGTCCTCCTCCCCCTCTCCCTCCCCCTCCTCCTCCCCCTCCTTCTCCCCCTCCTCTTCCTCCTCCTACTCCTCCTCCTCCTCCTCCTTCTCCTTCCACCTCCTCCTCCTCCTCCTCCTCCTCCTCCTCCTCCTACCCCAACTCCTCCTCCTCCTCCTGACCCTCCTCCGCCGCCCGTGGCCGCCCGTAGTCGCATCGCGGGCGCCCCGTGCGCTGGCTGGGCCTGCTCGGCGGCGAGCGAAGGGGGGGGCAATCAGGAGGAGGAGGGCCTGCTCAGAGGGCGGCGGGGCTTCTGGGAGGCCCCCCCCCCGCGCCCTCTGAGAAGTCCTCTGTTCGTCGATTCGCGCCTCTTCGGGGGAGGCTCTCGGAGGACTTCTCGGAGAAGGCCCGGGGGGCTTCTCGGGCCTTCTGAGAAGGCCCTCTCCTTCCTCCCCCTCCTCCACCCCCTCCTCTTCCTCCTCCTACTCCTCCTCCTCCTTCCACCTCCTCCTCCTCTGAGAGGGCCCTCTCCTCCTCGCTTCACCCCCGGGGCTCGCCGCCGACCGTCGATGGCTCTCGAGGTGGACGCCCGTGGCCGCCAGCGGGGGCGTCGTGGGCGCCCCGTGGGTGGGGGGGGCCGCGCGGCTCACGCCGCGCGGCTTTTGCACCACGCAGCTGTTGCACCGCACAACCACACAGCGTGGCGCCAAGAATGCTGCACAGCGTGGCTCACACGCGTAGCTTGGACCACGCAGCTCACGGCAGATCACCTGCACCGCACAGCGTGCACCATGCAATCACACAGATGTCTCACCACACGGCCTGCACCGCATAGCCTGCACCATAGAGCGTGCACCACACATCTTGCACCACACGACTTCCACTAAAGAGCTTGCGCCACATAGCTTTTTTACGAGGGCAGTGCAAATGAATCACTGATTGAGGTCCACGCTGGCAAAAAACACCTTGTGGGTTCCTGCGAAAAGCTCTATGGAAGCAGGGAAAAATCGAGTTGAGCAGAGCAGAGCGCAATGCCTCCGTCTGATTCGTTTCTCTCCCATTGCACGGCCGCCCTCGTGGCTCTGGCCGCTGTGCCACGCCGTGCCACGCGGCGAAGCGGAGGATGAAGAGGAAACGCAGCATACATAGAGCAACTGAAACACCGTTTTGGCTGGTAGCTTTGTCCAGTCTCTGCGGGAGATCGCTGCCCTGACAACGGCCACGCACCCTCGTGCCGTGGGCGGTTCGGGTCGTAGAACATTTTGCGACAGAGTGGTGAACCTTCTCGGGCCTCAAGGGCCGAATGTCCCTGCTTGACAGGGCTGAACCTAAACGGTGCTGTTCGTTTTCGTTGTGCTGTTCGTTCTTCCTCGTTTTGCCTTCGCTTCGCCTTGAATGCGAAACAAAACGAACAGCAACACGGCCCACGATATGGCCAAAACACCGTGTGGGTCCGACCCTGCTGCTTGACTACAGTGCACATGACACGGAATCTCAACGAGATCGTGACGTTGCGCAGCGCCCCTCACTCGTCATAGTCGGTCATGTCTGCGAAGTGCGCCCCTCCGAAGCACACGTCGATCATGCAGTCTTTGTTGGGAATGCCAGTCTTGGATTTCTTCGTGCAGAGCTCCCTGGCCACCTCACTTTTGTCACTCGCACAATTGTTGAGGTCGGGCCGGTTCACGGGCGTCACGGGGGTCTTGGTGTGGAAGAGCAGTTCCGCTTGCGGGACACCCGTTGTGCCGATGCGGGCGCGAATTGCCGGCCTGGTGTCGTCGTCGAGCACGCCGTTGAAATTTCCACAGTGGCCGTCCTGGTTGGGCTGCATGCTCATGGTGATCATCGTGTTGATGTAATCGCCCTCGCCTGGCTCGTTCCAACGGTTGATCTCCAGGTGGATGTTGAGCGGCAAGTCCACGTGCACGACGTGCATATCCTTGCCGTTGCGGCTCGACTGCATCACCTGCCCGCTGCCGTCGGTGACAACCTTGATCATGGGATCCTGGTTCTCCCAGGCGTCTGGAAAACCAGGAATAATGGGGACGTCGTTGAATGTCGCCCTGAGAGAGGAGATGCGGAGGACGTTCTTCTTGCCGTCCTTGCCCTCCAGGAAGGGGCCGCCGATCGCGATCTCCTTCATGACGGAGAGGCCGTTGGTCACCGGAGTGGGCATGTAGCGGCCCTGCATCCAAACGGTGGTGCTCTTCACAGTCCAGTACTCGCCCTGGGAGTAAAAGCTTGCTGATTGCCCGTCAAACGTCACCACGTGCGGGTCGCCGAAGATCCTGCAGTGCTTCTGGGGCCCCTGCGGCGGCGGCGCTGGCGTGGGGTTCTCACATTCTGGAGTGCCTGTGATGCAGATGCCCTTCTCATCACAGTCGTCGAAATCAGTACACTCCTCGGAGCCACAGTCATCGTCGCACTGCGACCCATCGCGGGCGCAGTTGCACATGTCGATGCAACACTCCTTCGACGGCATCGGCGACGGCGTAGTCACGATGTCAGGAGGCGCCGTGGTGATGACGGGGGGGGTCGTTGTGGTCGTGGTCGTGGTGGTGGTTCCCGCGAAGAAGAGGAGGGGAGTCAGGAGCAGCGGCAGGAAGCAGCATAGCCACCATGCGCTGCACCCAGCCGCAGGAATCGGCACCACGCCGAAGGTGCCGGCGCCCTGGCCCACGTACTGGTAGGTGGTCGCGGCGATGTAGTCACCGCCCGTGCCCACGTACGCCATCGTCGTCCCGGCGATGCCCCCGCAGCCCACTCCGCACCCGTCCGCGCAGCCCGCGCCGCCGCCCGGGCCTCCGCAGCAGGCCTCTCCACCACCAGCGTAGCCCATCCCGGGGTAGACCCCGCTGCCCATGAGCGCGCCGCCGCCCGCGCCGCCAGGGTAGACCCCGCTGCCCATGAGCGCGCCGCCGCCCGCGCCGCCAGGGTAGAACCCGCTGCCCATGACCGCGCCGCCGCCCGCGCCGCCGGGGTAGAACCCGCTGCCCATGAGCGCGCCGCCGCCCGCGCCGCCGGGGTAGACCCCGCTGCCCATGAGCGCGCCGCCGCCCGCGCCGCCACCAGCGAAGGCCCCGCGGGAGCCCGAAACGAACCCACCGCGCGGGCTCGTTGCCATGAAAGATCCGCCACGCGCGCCGGCGAAATTCATCGCTGCGCAGATCCTGCGCCGCGCCTGGTCCAATTCCTGCCCTGAGAGAATACTGGGGCAAAACACAACACAACTTGCGTCAAATGGCTACATAATGTAATTTCCATTGGGCTTGGGCAAATGCGCAAGCCTAACCACATATGACGACAAACTCCGGCACGACAACACCTGCGACAAACCCCTCGCCATATTGGAGGACGCCCGCTTGCAAAGCCGCATCGTATGAGTCTGGCAAAGGCGCGCGCATAAAGTCTGTCAGTTTGTGACATCATCCTACAGCACGTCTGCCAGAGAGGAAGCTTATCAATAAATGGATACACTCTGGGAGCAAACTATGAGGCGGAACGTGCGTGGTGCAAGCGGGTGGTTCACTTGTGAAGCTTGAATGCGTCAGCTCCAACGCTCGCTCGAACATCCCATCCGCCCACCAACAACTGGTTCGCAACACTCGACGATGCTAGTAACGCATGCGAATGACAAAGGCGACAGCAACGGCAACGGCGACGCCGATGGTGGGGGTGATGTCGACGACGACGATGGTTAATTATGGTAATGCACATGATGGCGACGGTAATGGCAGTGGCAATGATGCTGCTGGCGATGTTGATGGTGGTGTTACTGAGGATGGTGCGGCAGCATAACTTTGACGAGGGCGACGACAGCAGCGATGACGATGATGACGACTGTGGTGATGCTGGCGACGACGATGGTGATGAATTTCCATTGCGTCTGGGATTGTTTGGGGCGCGTCGCTCGAACAACTGCCCGACAACGAAGGCCTTTTTCCCTCTGGTGCCGCAACACAGCGCTTTCTGTACCCAGTGCACGACCGTGGCTTCCGTTGCGTTCCCGAGGCTCGCGCATGGCCCCCGCGAGCCGCTCGGGCCTGCACAATAACTGCTCACTTTTTTGCCCTGCGGGTCGAGCGCGAGCCTCTTCCGGTTAAGACCTAACCCCAGGAAGCATTTAAGAAACCCCCTGGCGATATCTTAGCACCGCATTTTTATTCGATATTCCGAGGGGCCGAAATAACCGAACGATAGGTTTAGCACCCGGACACACAACAAATTCGCGGAGGCCTGGCCCCTGGGCCACAATCGAAATTCGAAATTCTAATCTGCGTGGCTCTCATGAAAGACTCAGGATGTCGCTTGCTGCTTGGAAAATTCATGCAATGATAATAGTATTAATATTCGCAAGCATATTTGATGACTCCTAACGACTTGAATGGATCCATCAGGTTTCATACAAGTTCCGCAGGCTCCTGGTGCCAGGTAACGCTTCCAGGGTGCGGAAGGGTTATCGATTTGCCGGAAGGGGGGGGGGGGGGGTTCTTAAATGCTTCCTGGGGTTACGCGGGCCGCGGCAAGCACCAATTGGGGAGACAGGGCGCGGGCGGGCGGGGCCTCAGGCGGCCGGAGGGCGCGGGGTGCAGGAACACTGAGCACGGCCGACCCGCCCCGCGCCGGTGGAACTCGCTGCCCGAGTCCCCCCAGCAGCAGCGATGCGAAAGAGGCGACCGCGAGACGCCTGCGAGGAGAAGGGAGTGGACCCTGGCGTGCGCCTGGCCCCACAGGGTGAGGCATACGCCACGGGGTCCCTCGCGCCCGAGTGCAAAAACGAAGGAGCACACAACAGCACCTGCAGACACCAAAGAATCATCAGCTAAGAGCGCCGCACCACACCAATGCCCCTGAACAACGGTGCAAACCTGCGCCAAAGAGCGACGCAGTCGCGTAAACACCACGTTGCCTCGCGAATGCCACGGCATGCCCGTGAGCACCACAGCATGCCGGTGGACGCTTCAGTAACCTGTGAGCGCGACAGGACGCCCGTGGTTGCCACGGGACGATGCCATGTCGTGATCTGGGAGGGGGAGGCAGGGTCGACCACGCCCGCTATCGCCCAGATGAGCAAAAGGATGTTCGTGTCGTGTCAGAAATGTGGCGTACTGCACGTTGTGCACCTGATGTGACGCACTATAACATAAGCGCTGCAAACTCGGAGGGGCATCTTGTGTATCGCGCCACATCCCAGAAGTATGTGTGGCACAAGCTCTACGATGCAACCCGCAACCTCTGTGGAGCAAGCTGCGTTATGTGCAATGGACGTGGTGCAAACGGTGGTGCGAGCCACGCGATGCCTCTAAGAGGGGCGCTCACGATACTCTCGCGGGCAGGAACCGGGCGAAGACCCCGCAAGAACACCCGACGCTCGAGGCGGCCACGCGGCACCCACAGGCGAGCGCCAAGCGAAGCCCAACCACACCAAACCAAGCGCGTGGGTAACGAACGTCAAAAAGAAACCTAAACGCCACCCTTCAATAAATCAATACGGTTTGTGAATCATGTTGATGCGTCAGAGTGGGTGGAGCCGCCATGGCATTGCTTCATTTCGAGTTGGCCATCAACCACCAACAGCGTGAGGGGGCCGAAGGGTCATTCACTGTCCCTGGGCGCGTGGCTGAAGTGAGGTTCTGCGGTGCGGATGGTTCTTGTTATTGTTGTTGTGGTCGTTGTGTTTGAATTAGGAACCTCTTACATGGGTCCGAATAAATTGAGTCGGCAGAACTCGCCGCATCGCCGATACCATCGGCATGGGTGATGCGCTGTCGACGTCGGCAATACATCAGCGACGTCGGCGAAAACGCTTTCGCGCGGGACGTGCGTTCTGCTTGCCAACCCCCTTTCCAGCTACTCTCTCTCGTGTTCCGTCCTCCTCACTCCCACGTGTCCTTTCATTCCATCCATTCTCTGCTCCACTGCCGCAGGGGCTGCACGAAATACGCGTTGCAGGTGAAACATGTATATATATATATATATAATGTACAAACATCTACGCATTAAAAAATACGGTCGGAAACAACAGGGGCGGGTATCCAGGACTTGGGAAGCACATGTTGCTTGACATGCGCGCGTATAGGAGCGAACCGTCTGAAAGTGACAGTTGTTGGTTGTTGAATTCTCATTTATGAAGAATAATTATTGTTGATCCCCCCCCACAGGTGCATACTGTTTGTTCTCAATCAAAATGTGCCCCTCGACGCTCGCACCCTGTTTTTTGACAGGGGAAATCTTCCTGCTCAAACTGGGCCCCTGGCCCCGGAATACAACAACAACAGTTCCCGCCTGATATTTCCTTACAATTTAGCCAGGACCCCCGCTCCTGCCCGAGACTTCCTTGCATTTTTTCAGGAATCGCGCTCTCGCTTGGGGCTTCCTTACAATTTATTCAAGAATCGCTCTTCCGGCGCTCTGGAGTCGCGCTCTCGCTGGAGACTCGCTTGCAACTTACTGAAGAATGGCCTTGCGTTGGGATTTCCTGCAATTTGCCCAAACGCCGCGCTCCCGACACCCAGGAACCCAAAAATCGCGCCCGTTGTGGCCCCATGTGCGTGCCCTTCGTGGCCCCGCTGTCGCCATTTGTGTCCCCCTCACTGTCCTACGTGGCCCAGTTGCTACCCTTCAGTGGCCCCATAGTTGCCCTCTGTGGCCCCGCATTATCTGCACTTCGTGGCCCCCGCTCGTTCGCGTCCTTCGTGGCCCCATACGGATTCCCTTCGTGTCCCCGCTGTCGCCCTTCGTGGCCTATTTCGTGCCCTTCGTGGCCCTGCTGTCGTTCTCTCTCGCTCTCGTTTTCGCTCGTCGTCGCCGTCGTCGTCGTCGCCGTCGTCTTCGACGTCGTCGTCGTCGTCGTCGTCGTCGTCGTCGTTGTGGTCGGTCCCCTGTCTGTCCCTCTTGGGGTCGGGTCGACGGTCCGCGGCCGCCCCGCCGATCAGCGCTGCCGCTGGCCAGGCCGACGGTCCGCGGCCGCCCCGCCGCTTGCCGGGGCCCGGACTGCAGGGAAGAAAGGTATACCCCCCAAAAGGGGTTCGATCGAAAACGAAGAGGGCGGGTATCAAGGGCTTGGGAAATACGCGTTATTGGACACTCGACCATATAAGGGCGATCGCGTGATTTGCCTGTCATATCACAACAAGTACAACGTACAAAGCATTATCTGTACACCCGCCTCCGCACCCAGCCGGCTTGGCCGGTTGCTTCGGGGTCCTCCTTCGGTATCGGACTGAGTCTGCCTCACTATTCGGGCACCCCTGGTCCAATTCGCCCTCAGCGTTTCGGCGTGCGGTTGGCCATCCTCTTCAGGACATGCCACAACCAACCACACGGGGCAGGCCGACGCTGTCACGAACGACATCCCTGTTTCCTCTGGGACTCCTTCGTACACACCAAAGTTGCCAGAAGATGTCAAGCAAAGTTAATGGAACCTGCTGTTTTGGCCTTCAAAGGAGGGAGGGAACAACTGCCCCCTCTTTCGTGACACCGTCGGCACCTGGCGGACTGGCCGCAGGTGCCCCCTTTTTCCTTGAATGTCTGACCCCCAGCCCCCATGACCAGAGCACTGACTGGAGCACAGGACGGCGGAGCCGACTTCACAGCAGGCATGCCGAAATCTCTCTGCAACGCGCGCAAGCATGCTGGAATCTGTCTGACTGATGGGGAAAAGGCTGCGCCGCCGAAGACGAGTTCCTGGAGAGCTTCGGCTGACAACCCGTGATTTGCCTGTCATATCACAACAAGTGCATAGTACAACGCATTATCAGCACACCCGCCTCCGCACCCAGCCGGCTTGGCCGGTTGCTTTGGGGTCCTCCTTTGGTCTCGGACTGAGTATGCCCAACTATTCGGGCACCCCTGGCCCAGTTCGCCCTCAGCGTTTCGGCTTGTGGTTGGCCATCCTCGTCAGGACCTGCCACAACCAACCACACGGGGCAGGCCGACGCTGTCACGAACGACATCCCTGTTCCCTCTGGGACTCCTTCGTACACACCAAAGTTGCCAGAATATGTCAAGCAAAGTTATTGGAACCTGCTGTTTTGGAAGGGAGGGAACAACTGATCAGTCTTAAAATGATTGTTGTTGTTGATGCTGGTGGTGTTGTCGTTGTTGTTTGTATTCAATACATGAGAATTGTTGTTGAAACCCCATGCGCGCCATCGT